ATTCTGCCCTGTTTTTGGCCTGTGTTGGTGATGACAGCTGAAGAGGCCCCATCCCACTCTGCAATCGAGATAGAATATTTTCTAGGAGTGGTTCTAGCTAAATGAATGAGAGGGAATGAAGGGGATGATTGTTAGGAGCAGACTGGTGGATGTGCTATTAGGTATTTCTCAGACAACTCCATCTTAGGTGCAGGAGTCACAGACAAAGTTTCTCTTGTTCTGCCCTCCCCATGATGTCAAACTCCGATCCTCTCTTACATTCCTCCTGGATAGTCTGGGATTCCCAAAGTTCTCATGGCATAAACTAATATCAGCTTTTCTCTGACAACACCATTTTCCTATTTGTTTCCTCTGGCTGGCAGAGTGGTTCTGTCCCACATTCTGACAACTCTGGAAGGTCCACCCATGACCCTGAAATTTGCCAAGGGACCATACCTGCTGGAGCAGCCCATATTCTTAGAACTCACCGATGTCTGAATCCAAGGACAGTCATGATCTCTGTCAAAGTCACTGATGACCATGTTGTGGACTGAAGGTGAGACATGTAACCATTGCTGGTGATAATGATGGCTGGGGGTTGACTTATGTGTTCCAAAAGATATATTGAAGTCCTAATCCCTGGCATTTATTTGGAAATAGGTTCATTGAAAATGCAACTAAGATAGAAGATGAGATTGGACAGATTAGGATGGACCCTTATTCCAATATTACTGGTGTCCTTTTACAAAAATAAGGGACATGGAGAAATGCACAGGGGAGAATATCCTGTGAAGATGGAGGCAGCTGCTGGAAAGAAGTGTCTGAAAGCCAAGGGATGCAAAGGTTTGTTGACAACAACCAGAAGCTGGCAGACAGGCATGGGACAGATTCTCCCTCAGGGACTATCCTAGTAACCAGCCCTGCTGTCTTCTTCATCTTGAACTTCCAGTCCCAGAACTATGACACATAAAATTTCTGTTGTTTTAAGGCACCTTTGTTACAGCAGCCCAGGAAAATGATACAATGGTGCTTCCCCCAAGTGCCAGCACTCTCAGTTGATGCATGCTTTGTGTACTCTGGGGACCTCCCAGCATTACAAAGAAGTGCTCACTTTGCTTTTATTTTGTCTTCTATGCCTAGGATTCAGATACAAATCTAGGGGGTCTGGACCCAACTGGCATTGATGAACCAGAACACCTCACTTCCTGGGCTCTTGATGACTCCAGAGCCAGCATGGGATAAGGTCTCCCCTGAGATGAGGACTTTCTCCTCCATGACCTCCACTGTACACCAAGGTTAATGTGGAAAATTATGAATTGCACTGGGATTTTACACTTGCATGTTACTAATTAGAAATTAATTTCTCCTTTGAATAAACATATATATAGAACAGCTATGAATTCCCAGTAAAAACTGAAGTTTGGGGAAAAAGCAGGAATCAAAATACACTTAAGAAAGACATAAGAACTTCAATCTATATGCTCATGTACAAGTGTGCCACAATGACACCCACTATAGCCTATAATTATTATGCACTAATAATAATAATAATAATAATAATAATAATAATTAATGTTTCTGTGTAGTTCAGGAATCTCTCAAACATCTCTAGTCTCCATCCTGCCTGCCTTGGCCTGTACCCTTTTCAGGCAAGGAGGGCACAGGAAAGTGCCAGCTGCATCCTTCTTTGAGCCAGGCTTCCTGCAAGGAACACCCATGTTTCTCTCCTGACGCCTGGGCACTTCATATTGTGATCTCTGCTTATGTGAGGGCAAGGGCAGTCCTCATATATATAGAGTTGACAGCAGGGGAGGATCAAGGCTGCCCAAACTAGGGCCTTTGCTGATAGTCTTATATAAGGATTTTGGGCTGTACACTTGAGAGTCCTCACTAGCATCACAGCTTCTAGAGCTTACCTTGGGGGAAAAACAATCACAGGTGGGAACAGACAAAAGGAAGGAGCTAGACATTTCAGACTGGGTTGGGGTCTAGAATGACGAAAGTACTCTGCAGATGGGAGGTATTTGTTCCAATTCAGGTATCATTTCAAAATCTCCTTGATTAAACACTATCCCTTTAAAGACTTAAGTCAAAAAGTAAAGCCAGTGATCTCTTTAATCAGAGATGCTGTGACTTGGAGAGTCCCATGGCAAGCAGCCACACAATAGTTCCAAGGCAGGCTCCCCACCCAGCCCTTCCCACATTGTGTTTTGAGCGATTCATTGAAGGTAGAAAATTCCACTTGGTAAGCTTAGGACAGAGGCAGAGGCTCGGCTTTTAGGAGATACTCCAAAATAGGAAATGATGATGATGATGATGATGATGATGATGATGATGAAGTCATCAAGCCCTTGTGTTTCTCTTGCATTTTTCCTGTTTTGCATATCCTCCTCTAGAGGCGCTTGCTGCTCAGAAAGAAAAGTCTTGACTCTATGACAAACACTCCAAAAAGAAACGCTCACACTTATCTTCTAGCACACTTATCTTCTATCTTCCATGGGCTGCTTACAGTTGTGAAGCATTGTCTTGCTTTGGAATTGCTTTGTCCTGAAACACTTTCCCTCAGCCCCATTCTCTATTCCCTTCCACTTTAATTTCCTGCTTACTCTTTAAATTGGGATTGAGTGGGGAAATGTTTCCATTTTGTGCAAATGTTGTATCTACCTCCCCACTCCCTTGACTGTGAAGAGCAATCTCAGGTCTAGATAAGTCTTTGTGATGTTTCATTACAATGGTTGTTGACTTCAATCTGCCACCCAACTGTTTGACTGCAACTCTAACCATCAAACCATCCTGTTCAACACCCCCTTCCACTGCAGGCTCTGTCTTCACCTGTGATTCTTCTGTTAAGTTCCTTGTAAACTGGCCTCACTCTTCTTTTTCTGAGAGTCCCATAACAAGGACTTGCCCAATGCCTGTAGATGGTGTTGAATGTCCTTGCATCCTTCTACTTTTAGGTCACCTTTCTCTGACTTAAGGGACTAAAGATGGCTTTGTCCCTTTCTCTTTGTTTGAGTATCTATGTCCCAAAGGAATGATATCCATCCCAAAGTTCTCTGCCAATTTTCTCCCAGGGGGCCCAAGGATTCTCATGTAAATTAGAGGAGCATTTGGCCTGACAGGTGAGAGCACCCAGTGGAAGCATCTACCTTCTCCTAACCCTTAGGGTCAGGGACAGAGGAGGGGAGTTTTTTTTTTTTTTTTATTATAGACTGCTTCATTCTTCCCTGATCCAAGCTACAAAAGCTTTCAGACTGACACAGTTACTTATATAGTAACCCACATATCTAAGCATCTCCATGTGGGTCTGAAAAAGAACCAAAAGGTTGTGAAAAAATAACAAATGAGTTTCTCTTTATAGTTCCTCATAACTGGTCTATCTGCAAAGCAATGAGGACTTTGATTCATTTTGCCAAGAGGTCATTTAGAATTGGGAAGAGCCTCTCTGGTCTCAGTTTTACATCCTATTCAGGGAGAGATACAGGTCAATAGTAGGATTAGCTGATGGGATTAGAATTCTGGGAATAAACCTAAACTCATTGATTTCTTAATTCTACAAACAGTATTTCCAAAAAAAAAAATAATAATAACAGAAAACAGCAACATACAATTATTAAGGCCTAAATGTAAATGAAATACATTTCAAAACTACAGAAGTGGTAACGGGCAATATATGTTATTAGCAAAACTCCAACTTGAATTGGGTAACACATAGAAGAAAATTAAGCATGAGATGAGTAGGAAAGAGATGAATATTTGTGTATATATGTAAATATTACATATAATTAAATAATATTTTAAAATAGAATAAATTAAATAATGAAAAATATAAATCATATATATGTCTTTTTTTTTTTTTTTAGGAAAAAAAAAGGAGGTGGGTGGGTAGAGCTTAAGCCTTTAAGCAAATAAGCCCTCAGCTGGGATCATAAAAGCACATATCAAGGTTACAATATTAGCAGTCACCTTTGAAGTCAGAGCACAGAAAATATCCCCTGTCTGGGATATTCCCTGGGATGAGGTGAGTCAGAGCATTTGTAGAGGCCCCTGGGCACTCAGAGACTCCTGCCAGGCTTTTCCTGCCCTAGAGGGGAAAGAGGCTGCAGGTTAGCCCTGGGGAAGTTCAAGGACCAGGGCCAGGAATGGCAGCAGAAGGAGCAGGAATAACACCAGCACCCTGCTGAATGGAAAAGTAAAGAGCAGATCAAAGAACTTCAAGGCTCACTTGTGGTGGGGACCTGAGGATCCCAAAGTATATTCTCTGTCACCTCATTTATTGTTGCCAACTGTGGTTTGAGTAGTGGCTTCTGTGACTTCAGCTCCCAGTTGCTCAGTCCGGGATAAAACCCATGGTTGTCCCAATGGACTGGTCAACCTCCCTCCAATGGAACTGTTGCACTTTCATTGCTGAGAGCTGCTAATTGGTCTTCAACTGATGGTTGGTGCTTTCGTAACAAGAATCAGAACCACAATAATAAGGATGCAGCACTGACCTGGAAATTGTACTTAGCATTTGGACTAGACATAGATGTAAACAGACACATTTCATGCCTGCTGGGCTTAGTACTCACATGTTAAGGACAGACATGAAGGACTTGGGAAAGACACAAGCATGCTCCGTCTAGTATACATTTAAAAAGAAAAAAAAAAAAAAAAAAGAATAAGCATTTTTTGGGTTGGGCTTACTTGCTTTGCCTTTTTATTGGCATTTCCTGATCCATGATTGGGCTTCCAGAAAGCAAGTCTGGAGGAGCAATCTGAAGGGGGGAGAGAGGGTCGATGATATCTGAACTCCATAATTACGACTTTAATTTCTGCAATCGGCTGGAAGCTGTGTTGCAGGCTCTTGCTACAAAAAAAAAAAAAAAAAAAAGCAAGCCAAGTGGGATGGAAGTGGGTTAGGATATTATATAAGCTCTTTGCGGGAGGGGAGATGGTCTTTTATGTGTGCTCTTTTGCGGCTGCTGCTACTGCAGCAGTAGCGCAGCAGCAAGAGCGGCTCAGGTTGATTTAGAATACGGATGACAGTGGCCTGGCGCGAGCCCACGACTGACGAAAGCTGCTTATCCCGCTCGGTTTCCATGGAGACGAGCAGGAGCAGCGGCGGCAGCGGCAGCAGCGGCAGCAGCAGCGAGGCTGTCAGGGAGCTCGGCTGCTATCGCGCGTCCGCGGGGGTCTGCAGGAGGAAGGAGGAGGCCGGGGCTGGGACCCTCGCGGCAGACATGGACTTGCATTGTGATTGTGCCGCTGAAACGCCGGCCGCCGAGCAGCCGTCGGGGAAGATTAATAAAGCTGCTTTCAAATTATTCAAGAAGAGGAAATCGGGTGGCACCATGCCCAGCATTTTTGGGGTCAAAAACAAAGGGGATGGGAAAAGCTCAGGTCCGACGGGGATGGTGAGGAGCAGGACCCACGACGGATTAGCCGAGGTGGTGGTGCTGGAGGGCAGCAAAAAGGAGGAGCCGCGCGCCGGGGGCGACAGTGGCGGGGGCCGTGGCGGCGGTCGGCCGAACCCTGGGCCCCCCAGAGCCGCGGGGACCGGCGTGGGCTCCCTAGCCAACAGCTCGGTGGCCAAGTCTCACAGCTTCTTCTCCCTTTTGAAAAAGAACGGGAGATCGGAAAACGGCAAAGGAGACCCTACAGATGCGAGCAAGGCTGGCGGCAAACAAAAGAGGGGGCTGAAAGGGATCTTCAGCAGTATGCGCTGGCACAAGAAGGACAAACGCGGCAAGGAGGAGGAGAAGGAGGCGCACGCGGCCGGCCAGGGCAGCCTGATCTTGCCGGGTTCGCTCACCGCCAGCTTGGAGTGCGTCAAGGAGGAAACGCCCAGAGCCGCGTGCGAGCCGGAGACCCCCAGCCAGGACGCCCCTAGAGACCCAGCAGGTGAGCTCGGAGGGGGAGAGGAGGTGCCTGCCTCCGCTGATCGCGCCCCAGCGCGGACCTGCCGCGAGGCCGAGAGCCCCGGGTGCCCTAACGACAAAAGCGCCCGGGGAGAGGACGCCGCGGGGCATCGGCGCGCCGAGAAGCCCCGGGCACCCCCTGAGTCGGGAGCTGGTGAGGTCCACACTGCCGAGGATGCTTCCAGGACAGGTGACGTTCCGATAAAGACTGTCCCCCTTGTCGACTCTGAATGTGGCAGCGGCCGGGCGTCTGCCGTCCCTGACCCTTCCTCTGTCGATCCACCCTCAGACCCATCGGCAGATCGTATTTGTTTGATGTTTTCTGACGTGACTTCACTGAAAAGCTTTGACTCTCTTACAGGCTGTGGAGATATTATTGCAGACCAAGAGGAAGAGGCAGGTCCCAGCTGTGACAAGCATGCCCCCGGGCCAGGCAAGCCAGTTCTCTCTAAAAAGAACCCCAGCGTGGTGGCCTACCAAGGAGGAGGGGAAGAGATGGCCAGCCCGGATGAGGTGGACGACACCTATCTCCAGGAATTCTGGGACATGCTCTCCCAGACTGAGGATCAAGGACAAGGGCCCCAAGAGGGAGCGGCTAAGGTGGCAGCTGCACTGGAGACCAAAGTGGTGCCAGAGACCTCCAAAGATGCCAGAAGTGTAGAAGCGTCCAAGGACGTGTCCTTGGTCAAACGCAGGAGGCTCAACAGGATCCCCATTGAGTCCCATCCGAAGGAACAGCCCAAACACCCAGAGAAAGAGAAGGAGCAACAAGAAGGCGTCCCCAACAGTGACGAGGGCTATTGGGACTCGACCACTCCGGGTCCAGAGGAAGAAAGCGCAAGCAGTGGTAAAAAGGCTGGCATCCCCCGGGATAGCTACAGTGGGGATGCGCTCTATGATCTCTATGCTGACCCGGATGGAAGCCCAGCAGTCCCTCCTGCCAACGAGGAGACGTCTTGCTTGTCTCGGTTAAAGCCTGTGTCTCCAGGAACCATCACCTGTCCACTGCGAACACCAGGCAGTTTACTGAAGGACTCCAAAATCCCTATTAGCATCAAGCATCTCACGAACCTTCCATCCAGCCATCCAGTTGTGCACCAGCAACCAACCAGGAGTGAGATGCCCAGAACAAAAATTCCGGTCTCCAAAGTGCTGGTTCGCAGGGTCAGCAACCGGGGCTTGGCTGGAACCACCATCCGGGCAGCAGCTTGCCACGATAGTGCCAAAAAGTTGTGAGGTCTCCGATGCCAAGGTGGATGGGCCACATATCAAGGAATACAACTTTCCCCCCGGAAACCATTAAAGGATATTTGCTTCCCCTAAAGAAAGTCATTTAGTACAGCCCCCTTCTCTGGAGCCTGGACCTATTAGGTCTTTGTGCTGGGAACAGGGGCAGGATACAGCGGAGAGGGGGATGCTACACCTGGGATTCTCCTCTCAAGATAAGTCCCTGAGAATTATTTTCAAGTACTTTTTTTTCTTTTCTTTTTTTACCTTTAAAAAATATTTTTTGTTCCTTTTTCTTTAATACACTGAACCCTTGGAAGTCACCTTTACTTGCCTTTGCAGAAAACAAGACTTAACCAAACCTAAGTTAGCTCATGCCAGGATATTGGGCTGTGCTAGAGTCAGAGGGCCTGGAGGAGTCACTGCAGACCAGAGGACACTTCCCATTCTTTCTTTCCTTTTCCTTTTCAGAGATGGGTGGGGGGAAGACCCATTTCTGTGTCACTGTGTGGAAAACATCTAACAAAGCTGAAAGAACCAGGGAGTTCTACCTGATCAAAAGGGATTTTGGTTGACAGAAAACTTCCCTACTTTCGTTGGCTAGGTGTGCCAATAGGTATAGATTTATATCTTGCAAAATAAAGAAAAGTTTTGGTTTGGTTGGTTTAGATCATTTGGGGAGAAATAAAAGGCTTACAGAGTAGTTTTTCACTTTTTGTTTGTTTGTTTGGGGGGGGATCACCTGCCCCTATCTACCCAGTACAAAAATCCAGATCAGGGAAAGATTTCACTAAATGCCAATAGATACAGTATTTTAGCATTTAAAATTTAACCTTCTCATGTAGATAATGCATATTTTACAGCTCATCCCACTGTTAATATTTTATAATCTGTCAATACCCTAGAATTTAAAATCTGGTCTTATAGCTGGATATGATGACTATCCCCAAACCATTAGGTTCTTTTATGTACTGTAACCTGAAACAGAGCTGGTTTGGGTTTATAAGGGCTCTCTGGTCCTCAAAAAAGATCTATTGTGTTGGTGTCCCAGAGGAATGGTTTTAGCTTGTCTTGATTAAGAGTCCATTTGTTTTTCACCTCAAACCCTTGTTTTCAAAGATTTTATCTTAGTTATAAAATTTTAAATCCAACATTTCATCAATGGTGGTGAGTCCAAAATGAAGGACACAACAAAAAACCATAGAAAGTAGTGTTTCCTGCCATCTGACTTTTGCTTTATAGATCATGGCTGAGACAGGTGTGTTTGGAATGAAATTGGCAAGCTTATGCATCATAAACACATTATTCTAAGATTTTTTTTGAGAAGCAGTTTAATTATATGTATGTTTTCTAATATTTCAGCCAAGACTTTTATTCCAGAAAGGATTATTACATGCCTTGGTATTTGAAAGATAAAGTGAAGCAGTTCCTAGAATGCTATTAGTGTCTAGTGACTAAATTAATATCATTTTGAAATGTGCTTCAGTGTATTCAATCAAAAGGCCAGAACTTCTAGTGGAGGTGATTCATCATATCAGGAGGATTATACATATTCAAGTGAAAAACCATCATGTAAATGACATGAACGCTTCTATAACTCTCATTTGCCAGAGATTACTAAGTAGTGGACTGTTATTTTGTTTTTAAATTTGTTTTCTGTTTTGTGAAAAAAGAAGGCAAGTTAAAATATGAAAACCTATTTTGATAAATGAAATTGAAATCAAAAGAAAACAAATCTGAGTCAGTGATGTGAGCAGCTTGTTTCCCATTTTAAATTCAGAAGGATTGAATTAGAAAAAGAGGTAGAAGCTTGCTGAATTTCTTTATTTATTACTGGCTATTATTGTGTTGTTTCAGATCCTTAATGTTATTTCAAAACAGTATTTTAATATTTAATATCCTTATATCTCTAGATAAGGATCTTCCTTCAGACATAGCTTTCAGGGTACTGAACACAAACTACAACAAATTCATACAAGCATCCTGCACGTGTTTGCACACTCAACTGCGTACAAACTAACAGACAAAAGACATCTAGAAATATTTAGCTTTAGAAATATCTTGGAAATTATTTCTGTTCTTGAGAAAGGGCTTTAAATTTGATTTAATGCTGATAGTACTATTTAGACTCAAAATACATTCATTTTCCCCCAGTGAATCAGAGAAAACATAAATTTTATTTCTAGCTGCAAAACAAAGGCTCTGTTTTTATTTCCTTCTTGTGCATTTTCTGGCAAGAATTATATTGTCCTTTGCATGACTCCAGGGCCAAGTTTTATTTCCTCATCTGTTCAATTGTGCAGTAAAAGTTAACAGTACCTGAAGAACCGAGAAATTGTAAAGTCAATCTATTTCTAAAAGATTAGAAGAAACAATTTGTGTTTTTATAATTTGGGGACTTATTTCTGCAATGTACAGTAAAGTTTTAAGTTCTCCTGTCAATCAATTGATTATAAAAGATTTAAAATATTTTAAAAGTTATTTTCCCCATATTTTTAAAACTTTTAAAACCTGATATCTCTACGAATTGCACCCACACTAGTCAAATGAAGGATTTGGGCAATGAATTAAATGGCCTCGATCACTTGGTGGGGATCACTGCAGTGGTGGGAGGAATGGGTGGCCAACTTTTTCCAACCACAGGAGAGGAATCATAGTTGCTTTCTTGTGCCAAGGGCTACTTTGTCTCATTTGAATTAATGGAGATGATTTTTTAATATTTTTCTCTTGAATTCCATGTCAATTTTTATTAATGCACTTTCTAATAACCCTGTAAAGATTATTTAGGCCCATAGTTGTTGATTTTTTTAAAGGGAAAGGTTAGATATAGGTGAATAACACCTTTCCTGGGGTGTATGATTTAAACATACTTATGGATTAATGCCCTTTGGACTAAGAGCTACCCAAATTAGAGGGGGGAAAGACAAATCAATCGTTGGAACGGAATTTACCAGTTTAATAGCTTGGCACAAAGACATCCTGACTTTTATTATCTATATTATACTTACAATGTGACTTGAAACATCCTATTTGATGGTTGGTGCTTTTACCCTTCCATTAATACCAAGTGGGAGAAATTTTATTTACTACAGCATTTTAAATAATCACAAGATGAAAGAAAATTTTTGTCATTTCACCTAATAACAACAATGGGATATAGAGCATTAAGGACTTCCTTTGGATACACTTCCCATCAATTATCTGACTCTTTAAATACAGGTTTTAATCTATGAAGATAATGGCTGACAGAATTTAAAGGTTTCATGCATTCATCACAGTAGTTTTCAAGTTTTGCATTTAGATGAATATGCCAAGAGCCCTTTCCTGACCAATTATCAAGGTAGAAAGATTATATCAGTTGTCAACATTGCTTTTACTGAACCTTCTAAGAGTTTCCATTATTTACCTCTTTGTCAGATTAATTTTCCTAGGTGACTCTTTACTGTGAGTTCTGTATAAAGAGACTGACTCCTGTAGCATTTTGTCTGTCCCTTTGTTCACACCATAGTTGTTTAGTACCCTTATCAGAAACGGGGCACTTTGCATGACGTTGAGTTAGCATGTCTGGACCATGTTAACATGTTGGAACTCATTCTTGGTTTAGTTATTCTAAATTTCTGTCTTGAATTACAAATAGATGGACTTGGCTTCCCTGTTTGTACTGAGATATGTCTTAGTACATTCACAGGTACTTTTTTTTTCACTTCATACAGCTCTTTTTTTTTTTTCATTACTAAGAAATCAAGAACTTTAAATGATTGAGGAAAAGGCACCCCATTTGCTTCTTCTTTTAAACAGCATGGCTGTTTTAAACATCTGGATGGAATTAGAGAAACCCAAGTACCTCAGCTCACACCTCTCTTTTTCTCCTCCTCCAGGCAGAGCAAGGAATGGATGACTTGGTTATTTGTGCAAAGTCACACTTAGACTTTCAATCCATTACCCCAAAATATTTATAAAACAGGTTAGGACCAAAGGGCTACTAGGGGAGACCAAGGTCTTAGACAGCTGGTGTGGGAAAGCAAAAGGCCTTTGCTGACTTCATAAAAAGGAGAAGTCCCCACTGTCTCCGAATCTGTGAGGTGTGGCTCCTCCCCCATGTTGGTAGTGGAGTTGGCCCCTTGTCTGGCTCTGAAGACCCTCTCCTGGCTGTCACAGATTGCTCCTTAGAAGCCTTTCCACTGTGATAATGGCTTAAAGGAGACAGACTGTTGCAACGAGAGCCACTTAGAAAGGATAAATTATCCTTCTGCAGATGTTTTTAACGGGTGATTCCCAATGCTAGTTTCATGATCATGGAAAAGAGTTCCTGCTCAAACTGAAAAAGGAAAGATGAAAGTAGTCACTAAGCGTCCAGAGCTGAAAATGGGCGGTTTTTATGATTGGTGTTTACTTGAACTGAGTGCAACACATATTTATGGGACAGATACCATATATAATACTTAATAATAACCCCTTCCATTTGGGGTTTTATTCATTCTGCTGTAATTGGATTTTCTTAATATTCATTAAAAGACTTTTCTTTTATTATACTTTTTTTTTTTTGTATTTGTGTTTGTTGCTTATAGTTTGTGGGATGGAGCAGAGTGAGATGAGTTAAGCAAATTCTTCTAACAATAATAACAGTAATAACAATATAATGTGTGTTGACTACTTACTATGCTCCAGGCACTTATAGCAGCTTTATGAATATTTACTTAGTCCTCTTATGGCCATAGGGGAGAGGCAACATTGTCTTCCTAGTATGACACCTTTAATTCATCCTTTTTGTTTGTTTCTAATCCCTTTCCACCTCTGTCCTGCTCTGTGTCCCTGTCTCTGTCACTCTCTGTTTCGGTGTCTCTGTCTCTCTTTTTCCTTCCTGGGACAAGGGTTATAAATACTTTAGTGTCCTAGGGTAATACAAGAGCTAAGTAAGAACTGCTGAAGTCATTAAACAGTTCACTTTCACCAGGAAAAGCTCACCCATGTCCATGCAGCTTTACGTCTAAGATGATGGTGCTCACAGT